CACTTCACCCGTCACGACGTTGGATAAAGTCACTAAATTTAAATAATACCACGAGCATGAGTTGTCATATACCATGCTTTTGACTTGGTGGATAGATGGCTTACCCTCCCCCAGTATATTCAGAGTTGATACCAGAAGGTTATCAAACATCACCCCGCGTATATCCGTTTCCCGCCTTCACCCAAGAGATGGCTAGCGATCCGGTTTTCCAAAGACAAGAGCGCAAGTCTCCCCAGTGCAGTCCGGGTTGTGATAAGGCACTAGTAGGGAAGGACGCTGTGACGCGATATTCTTCCGAGTTCCCTCGCACCTAGATGAGTTCTAGATTTCCGTGTGAAGAAGAATATATTCTTGGATAAAGAATGGCGCAGAGCATGGACAGAGAATCAAAGCAAGTCCAAGGAAAGTGACAAATAGAAGTGATATCATATAGCATGGAGTTATAGCGTAAGTTTAACAAGGGTCTTCAGTGCTCAGAACCGCGATCAACCAGTGAGCTATCCTCAGAAGAAGAAAAAAGGGGGGGTCAACGAAATGGTGATAAAATTGCAGTGGAGAAGGAAAGAGTTGAGGTCTGAAGGAGGCTAAGAATATCAGCGAAAACTTGGGTTTCAAAGCGGGGAGTTTCTTCATTTTACGGGGGCCAAGGGAGAGGGCCGCAAAGCCCAGAAGTATTTACCCTCCTCCCCGAGAACAAGCACCACCCAAAACAGCTCGACCAATTGCTGAGTATGATTCCTGGCTAGAATAACTCAGCCGCAAGCCTCCGATAAACGGTTGCACGTCTTCGAACGAGGGAGATGGGGGTCGAAAAGAACATGCACATTAGCTGATTATGGGAGGAGGCGGAAGTCTAACATCGATAGTCAGTAAGATAAATGTTGCTACTGAGCAACGCCATTAGTGCCGGAAAATGTCCACCAAAGCACACTCTGGCCAGCCCATCCTGGCACGGGGTTGGGGGTTCGATGATTTTAAGCTTCCACCAGGAGAACAAAATGGGGCCATTCTGTCTTCAGAACTTTAGGCTGCACGACGAGCACGATACCCACATACGGGGTCGCAGCGGCAGCGAAAACCCACTTCAACTTCCTCCCTGCCGTTTGATTTGTGCGGGTTGTCGGTGAAAAGGCCCCATTGTGCCCTTGGCCTATTTACTCTATATACTCCGTAGGGCTAACATATATGTAGTTCCCTTGGGTATGAAGGTGCTGGAGGGCTCCAGCAACTTGGCGTGATTGTCCTCAAGCCTTGAGTTGAAATCTTGAAAATGCTCTGTAAACGGCATTCGCCCACCATGTTACAGCTAAACGCCCCCCCTCTCCAACCAAGCCAAAA